TAGTTTCGAGCCCTCTGCATCGGACTTGGGGTTGTGTGAAGCTGTTGAGAAAAATGTGCCATCAAGGAGAATAATCTGTTTGAGCTTTTCATGATCCCTTCCTGAATTGCTGTTTAGTTGCTGCTGTACTGGAAGGTACATATAATTATGTATGAGTATTTTCTCTTTTACACCTGCTTATATCCTTTTTTTTTTCCCCGAGGGAAATCTCTAGTTGATTAAAATTACCATGAATTTTCTTTAGATAATTGATACCAAATGAAGCTGTGCACCATGTGTGTATGCATATGTCAAATACATAAAATTACGGATGCATATGTGTGTAGATATAGGGGCATATATATATGCACAGCTACCAGGGAATATCTTTCACTTAGTAATTAATTCACTAGCCTTCAGTGTGTGCAGCGTCTTAGAGGTCATTCTGCACTGCAGTGTCAAAACACTGCAGTATTTTCCACTGCGTTGGTGCTATAAAAATGCTAATTGTCCCCATGAAGATGTAGGCTGTTTATAAGTGCGTATGTGATTGTTTTTCAGCCCTGCGAAAGACAAGGAGGTGTTATTTCAGGTTTATAATTTGAATGTGTGATGGATACAACTTTGACAGTTTATTAGTTACAAAAGAAAAAAAAAAAAGACAGTGGTGTGTCGTTCTTCAGCTAATTGATTGCCAGGAGCATGTTATTGACTTTGGTGATAATATCATTATATATTTTACAGTCGTAAAATCAAGAAATTCAGATTATGCCTTGAGGGCTTCACACATTTAAATAAAGGATATAGCCATTTCCAGGGCTATTGGTTTAGATTAGTGGGTACTGTGAAGAATGCGTAGTATGTTGTAAGAGCATTCAGAAAAAGCAACAGTCTGCTCATTGCAATGATGCTTTGGTTTATTTTCTTTTTCTATTTATGAAATATGCTTACTTACATATCCGCTGGGAGAATGAACAGCATTTGCTCTAAACGTTAGCATCTTAATACAACGGTAGCTTGGTGCTCTGTTGGGCTAAGAGCCAAAACCAAGTGTAATCCTTGACTTGTACGAAGAGTGAGGTAAGTCTTCTTTAGACACTTGCCAAAATACGCAGTGTCTGGGAAGAAAACCTTGCGTGAGCTTCAGTCTGCAAAGTTAAGAGCGTTACCTGGAGCCAGGTAACCTAATGTGAACACAGCTAGCTCTCCCTCTTGACGTCAAAGTCAGGATTGAATGGCAGCTGGTGGGCTGCTGTGATGGTAATGTCCCCCGAGCGGCTCCAGTGACTACTGCTGATGGGTATGGTCCGGGGAACACCTGCCTCTGGCACTCAACTCGGGCTGCTCTGACCTGAATCTTCCACAGTAGCTTATGCTCCTCTCGGACTGTTTACCAGTCACGTCTTGGGATTGAATGCACTTGAGGTACTGGGGTTTTGGGTTCAGGTCTGTCTCTAGCTTGCTTTACAGAATCTGAGTTTAACTGAGGTATATTGCCTTGAATAAAAATGATTGGCTGTGTTAAAAACGTTATTTATTACTTTTACAGTATATTTAGTGAGATGGATAAAATACCGTAATACTGGTCATGATGATAAGCCTCTCTCTACTTTAGATGCAAGCTCAGAAGCACATTGCATCACCCAGCTCCAGGGATTTATTGTTCTCTTAAAAGACTGTGGAAGTCCAAGTGCAATGTCACAGCTCAGCAGCAAAGGTCACGTTTTCCCACTTACGCAGGAGCAGTGGCTCCAGCTGGAACACATATGGCTTAAAGGTGAACGGTGACATCTATAGAAGCAGATAAAATAATTACTCTTACATTTACATTTTAAGGGCCTCTGAGGATTATAAATCTATATGCTGCAAACAAAACATTTCTTTGCCTGTGTCAACAGTGGCACGTTTTCTAATTAAAAGTGATCACCTTTCTAAATTGAATTTGTGTGACGTTGTTGTTAGTGGGCTTTTAGCTTTTGCATTTTTTCTCAGTTTGGGACATGGGAATCAAATCGGTTTTAGTTTTGTTGATAAACTGGTTACATTTTGGATTGTGAAGTGCTTGTGTCGAGTTGCAAACAAATGCTTAGGATACTTCTTTGCTTATGAAAAGATATTTATGAAAGCATTTTAGAGCAAAGAATTGGAAAATACTCATTGGTCTTGAAGTTCAGAAAATTTTAAAGAGTCTGGACTATCTGCTTTGTAAGTGTCCAGTGTGCAAATGAAGTATCACCCTGCATAAATCTCGCACCTCATGAGTGCTATAAAATTGACCATACTGACAATGTTTGTCATATAGTAATTTTCCAAGCAGGTAGAAAGTTTGTCAGTGCTGATTACAGCACCAAAATTTGGAAATACAGTACGAGTATACTGGATGTATGCTGAGAAATGGTGACTGTTGCAGATGGCTGATTTATAATATAGGGCAGTGTGTGTGTGCATTCTCTATGCTTTTTCATGGGACATATGCTCTAGGGTTTTACGGATGAATTTGTAGTGTCTAGTTTCCACTGCAGTTTAAAATATCTACATCATTTTCAGGTTGATGATTTTTCCCAGTCATTTATCCCAAAAGCACTTTATCCTACTTAATTTGGGTCATAATTGACATGGGACTTGTACGTAAGCAGACATAGCCATAAGTTGTGTTTGAATGGGCTCTTAATGTCAGGGATTTAGTTACGTGCAGCTAAACAGATCAGAAGTTGGAATAAGTATAAATGTTCAAATAACTGATGGATGCAAGGTCGCTATCGTGACTTGGACCCAGGAAACACTCTTGAACACTTACATGCTCATGCTATTAGCTAACAGCTGCCTTCGGCTGTAACGAAGACATAAGGTTGAAAATTGTTGGCAAGAAAGCTGTTGGAATTGGATTTTATTTACTGCAAATCAACAGGATATATATGCAAGTATAAAAGACATATGGAAAAGTCCACTGTTATCATTGGACTTTGTTGCTTCTCCAGATGTTCTCCCTCCTGCCCCACTCTGGAGCTGAAAGTGGAAAATGTTTTTTCATTGTTTTTAGCTGACGGGCCAACATCTGCCTTGGCATTTCCCTGGGGAATGATATTAGTGTTACTTCGAGTTTCTGATTTATCATTTGTGTCTCATTAGGGTTTGGGTTTTTTTAATATAATGTAAAAGCATGAAGTTTCAACCCTCTGTTTAATTCTTTTTGAGGGAGCAGGAGTGAAAATGAATCAAGGGAAACAGTCGGGTGGCCACTTAACTATCACAGCAACACTTAATCAGCTGCCTTATTTTTAAGGGGCTATAAATGAGGCATTAGAACATTGGTCTGAGCTGATACTTTTCATTGAAAGAAATAGTATTTGTGTGCTCAAACACACTTGAAGATCTCAATATGCTTCAAATAGCTCTATTTTTTAACATACGTTTAGTCTATCATTAGTTCACAGCATGGACTGTGCTGTACTCTCGAGGAAGAAGAACCAAATGAGTATCTTCATTTGGAAGTACTCTTCATTGGTTGTGTATGCACTCTAGTTTTTCCTATAATGGTATTGTAAAAATTTCAATTCCATAGTTTTGAACCTAGTTTTTTCATCCACTTGATGGGTGTGTAACACTAGCAAAGTTGACCCAAGTGTTGACTGCTGAAAAAGGTACTTTCAATAGAAATGCAAAACAAAATAGCTTTTCCCCCCAAAGCTTGTGTACTTTATGCTTATCAAAAACTAGCTGCACAGAAGCAGATTTTATTTTTTTTTCTGTGCTTTAATCTGACTTTTCAAATAGGAATGAGCTTTGGAGAAAATTTGGGCCAAAACTCTCAAATATAGGTGTCTAATACTAGATTCTTACTTATGGTTCATTTATAGCAGGCTCTAGCTCTTTGTTCATTTTTTTACAATAGCTAGAAGGATGGGGCAAAATCTGTGACTCAGCGCCTAGGTGGTAATAGTATAAATTTTAGCAACATCTGTCCATGTTTAGGCAAGTTTTCTGGTGGAATCTGTTTGGTCCAAGAAATGTCAAATTCTTTACGATCTCACATTATTGTTTGCTTCTTTGTGCCTTGGAAGTTGTTTGTTTGGTTACTTGTTTTGTTGCAATTATTTACAGTTCACTGCTGTTTTTTTGACATCCTAGCAAGAAATTCCACAGACAGCTGCAAAATATATCTTTAATCAATTTTAGGAAGACTGATTCCCTAACTAACATATTTCTTCCAGCTAAGACACAGAGTAAACTCTTCTGCAGATACTCAGGGAAGAAGTCTTCCTGACAAAACTATCCCTTTCATGGATTGCTGTAGTGTCATTGTTGTGTGGTTCAGGCTAGTCTGAGCGTTGTAATTTATGTTACATTGGCCTTATCAGTACTGTGCTATCTTATCCTCGATTGCTTTTTTATTAAGAAACATCTTGTGTCATTTTTTAAGCTTCTCAGGGTGAGCCTGTGAGAGCCAACATTGCTGGTTATGTTTTTTCTGTATATGTCTATAAGCAGAAAGAATAGAACAAGAAGACAGTATTTTTTGTGGAGGTTTTAAAGCAGCCATATTCTATAGGCAAATAACATCATTTGGTTTTCATCATTCAAATGGTAATAGTGTAAATATTGCTGATGCGGTTAGATAAGTTGGTATACGAGGAAATAGTAGCATGTTTCTATTAGAGTTTTGTCTGCAAAATGAAGAATTCTCAAGTGTATTGGTATTAAAACAACCCGTACAGATCAGAAGTTTTCAGATCCATGAGGTCTGATTCAGGCTTATCTCTTATTTCTGTAAACCTAATTTGTGTGCAAATTTCGTGGGGAAGATTTTGTATGGCAACAATTCCACTGTGAATTCATTTGAGGTAGTAAGGCCAAAAGGTTTTATTGAACTAGTACTTTTCTTCTAATTTTATTGAAATGTTTGCATGTTTAGGTGTTGAGGTAGGAGTTAGATCTAATTTGCCACTTAATTTGCGAGTATTTATTTGTTAATTTTCTTTTGCACTCATGCAAATTTCCTTGTTTCCCTTATGTCTTTTCAGGTCAGGATCGCAGTGAAGCCACTTTAATAAAGAGGTTTAAAGGTGACGGTGTCCGATACAAAGCAAAACTGATTGGGATAGATGAGGTTTCTGCCGCACGAGGAGACAAGTTATGCCAAGACTCCATGATGAAGCTCAAGGTGCAGTGAAACTTTTAATCTTTAATATTATGGAGTCACAGGGAGTGAATTTCAGCTTGAACTTTTACTCATTCTCCTTTCATGACACTGAGTCACACTCTGGTTAATTATGTATTGAAATCAGTCAATTTTACATGAACTCCTGGCTGGTATTGCTTATCCCAGTTTAATTTTAATACATTATCTCTGAGTTCAGTAGTTATTCATGATTGACACCACTGCAATTTGTCCACAAATTATAAACAACGCATCTGCAAATTGAATAATTTTATTATGCAAAAGGGGAGGTAAACCACTATGAAGAAAAATGGTATATCAGAACATTTTTTATGACAATGCTCATCAACTACAGCCCTGCCTTTAAAGATCATCATCTCCTGTTGGGACAGGCAGGAAGGGGTGAGTGACATTGTGGGGTGTAGGTAGCCAGATATAGGGGGGAACTGGTGTCCTCACTGGGGGGATAATGTCTTGCACCTGTAATGGCAGGATTGATGGGTTACAATATCAGGAGGCAGTGCACTGAGAGGACAAAGCGTGAGAAGATAAGAAGAGTCCCCAGAGTTTTGGGAAAGAAATGGAGCAGTGACAAAAGCAGGTTTTGAGTAGACTGCAAACTTAGAGAGTAGACAGAGTCTGAAAGCACTAGTGGTGTAGGAGGGTGGACTTTCTGGAGCATGCTAGACCTCTCTCTCCGGGCTCAATCTTTTCTTACAACCCTCAAAGAGCGTAAGAGCGCTTTATAGGAAGCATCCTTTATGTGGCCCTGGGAAATGGGGAAGAGCTGGATTTGTTGAGGAGGAAGGATAGACTGTGTTTTTCTTGAGTGCAGTGTTGGCTGTTGACTTCCCATCTGCATTGTAGGGTTACAAGCTAGGTCTGGGAGTAAACTCTCCTCAGTCTTTTTGCTGTTTTTTTCCTTCCAGTCCTCTCCCCAGCACTCTACCAAGAGAGCTGATGGATTTCGCATTACTAATTTTTTCAGGAGGAGAAATCGCTAAATAGTATCTTTTACACTACCAACTAGCAGGGTTCCAGTTCTGAGGAACCGGGAGGAATAGGTGGTTATTCATGAATAAACAGCAAAGGGTGACATGCATCTTATGGTTCAACAATCTAAAAGAAAGATCTGGTAGATAATTTACGAATCAGTTATGAACATTTTATGACAAGCAAAAACTATTCTAAAAGGTGCACTGATGATTTATCACATCTGCCACAATATTCCTATCTGTTTTAATTGTATACTGGATATTTCTCATCATTTCATAGTTCCTAGAAGCAATTTGGAAGAATTGTCACTGTTCTGCACAAGCCTTTTTGTGTCTCTCCTCCATGGATTACCATTTCCACATCTCCCAGATGCCTGATACCTGTTTGCATAGTGGCGAGATTGATCTAAACAGTGTTGTGAGATGACTAAAATTATTAAGGGGAGGGAGCATTAGAAATTCATGTTTGTATGTAAGGCAGCATAGCATGAAGTTACGGGCTCTGGAAACCTAGTGTCTAGCAACATGAGTTTTAAGGCCAGGCATAAAGTTATGGGGTGACTTTTGACAAGTGACTCCATTTTTTCTCTTTAATTTTCATGTCTGTGTAATGAGAATAATGACCTCATGAAGGTCTTAAAACGTTAGTGGTTGTTAAAACATGTCGAAATTGCAGAGCACCAGATAAAGGCTAAATATTTTTCTTTATTTACTAGTGCGATTGATTACGTTTGATCTTAGTACAGTGTTATTCATCAGGGCAGGCTCCTGAGAAGGTGGAAATAGAAGTTACTGTTATAGTTGTGCTGTGGAAGAATAATACATGAAATGCATATCAGCAAGTTCACTTGAGAAGTAAAAGCCTGAGGTTATGAAAAAAGCTAACCCTCTATACCAGTTTTTTACAGCAGAGATGTAGTTTGATTTTGCTTATTCCAGATAAGTGTGCCCATGAAGTAAGCTAAGGTTTTTTCCTCCACTGCTTGGGTTTTTTTTTTCTTTAAAAAAAAGAAAACAAAACAGCTTATAGCTGGGAAAAGTGTGCTAGAAATGACCTTCAGCTTCCATGAAAACAAATTTCATGGAGGATTAGCTGGTGCAGGCATTGGAAGCGGGAGCACATTTGAAATGCTCTCTGGGTAGCGTAGAGATGTGGTACCTTGAAAAAAAGGGAGGAAGCCAGAAGTTAGAGGGGGACTGTTCCTGGAAAGCCCTTAAGTTTTCCTAGAAAAGTGGTGAATCGTCCACAAGCAAATCTTTGTGCTCTGCTGTGGCACCAAGAAGAGTAATGAAACCAGCCAAACTGTTCTTTTTTTCCATAGGGAGTTGTTGCTGCGGCTCGTTCGAAAGGAGAACATAAACAAAAAATCTTCTTGACAGTGTCCTTTGGGGGAATCAAAATCTTTGATGAAAAGACAGGGGTAAGTAAAATAGTCATGTGATAGAGCAAAATTGAATCTTTCCATGGATGTTTCTTTAAAAGCATTTCCTGGCTGGGCAGTAATATCTCACCAGTATAAGCACACATGAAGCATCTGACAAGCTTGATAAAGGGTTATCATGTATCAGAGCAAGCCATTAGATGACTGAGGTGTAAAGTGTAGCATGGGGATGTGGTTTATTTTAAAGCCTTGTCCTGGATACTTCTGCAGAACCACTTACGTGAGCACACAGATGCTCTTTACGTGCATAAACACTCACAGCTCTGAGTCCAGAAAGTGGCGAGAAGGGATTTGTTTTCCTTCTGCCAGATAAAAAATTGTTTCTTAGAAATACCAGCCCACAGTTTGCAGAAGGCTTTAGCAGTCCACGGTACAGACTGGTGTCTGTGCCCATATGTGTTTTCTCATCCAGCCCGGGCCCAACTGCACCAGTCCTCTGGATGCTGCTTAAGACTCCTCGGCAGTACCAAGTGGCTTTTCAGAGTCTAGAGGCTAGGATTGTCTTGGTTTGGGCCCTTTGTGTCATGGGAAGCTGAGGTGAAGAAAACAATCTGGAACAGGAAGCTGCGGAGAACCCCAGGAGAGTAAAGCTTGTTTTTCCCAAGCCTGAGATAGAGAAAAGGAAGGGCACTGGGAGCTGGGGAGCTCCTGGGAGCAGCACGCGCTTAGCTGGTATTGTCCTGAAGATGTCCCAGGGGAATCCTAAAGAATTTCTGTCAGGTCCGTAATTTCACATCAGCACAGTCGTAGTCACCATAATGCGATATACTCCTCTTAACAGCAGTGACTGTCTTCTGTCAGATACGCAGTAACCATAAGAATCAGAGCTTTTGTATCATCAATGGTAGCAGAAGTATATATTGTATGGAATTGGAGGTAAAAGATATTGGAAAGTTTGAGGTTGCTGTTTGAAGTTGCCAAGCAGCAACTCGTCCAGTAGCATCTGGTCGAGGAAGTTGCAGGAGACTTCCATGCCTTATGCAGTTTTTGCCGCAGCAATATCATGTTTGTTTTTTTAAATTGCTTTGCGAGAAGAAACCTAAGCAAAACATTATACTACTTAGATATAAAGCGACAACACACAAATTGTTTTAATCCTAATTAAGAAGATTTTTACAGCAGTTTAAGCTTTGCCTTGAATTTTAAAAAGCTCATGATTTAGTCTTTTGAAAGATTAACTATTTAACATGATGCCAGAAATAAAACCCTACTGATGATAGATGAAATTATCTTTGCCAGTTAATTTATATTATTAGAAAATCAATGTCATTGAGCTCACTGATACATAATACAAGTAGTTAGTAATGAAAAGCTCATTTGGAATGTGTTGTGTACAGCATGTGTAAAGTATTCATACAAAAGCAGTGTTTAAGAGAACATTGCTGAGGTTACAGCCTATGTTCAGAAGATACGAAATGTCAGGATTAGGGCTGCCAGTGCAGTTGTGGTTGGGTCTTCTAATAAATAGACATTAGGGTAGTATTTAAGTATGCAATGACATACCTTTTTTTGCCCAGAGAATACCAGCTTCATTCAGCCTACAGCACAGAGCGTAATACGCTGAACAATACGGTAATGTTTCGGGTTTTTTTCTTCAGTGTGCAACCTACTGCCTTGCCACGCACTCTGCAAATTGCACTGAGGCCACAGTTACTTTCCTAAGACTAAAGCCTTTTCTTGGGAAAATAAAAAAGAAGAGAGAGAGACTTGTCCTGTGGCACTTCTCTCTGAATGTTTCACAAACGCAGGATTTGTTTTTGTAAAATAAAGAGGGAAAAGGGGATGCGTTTAGAAGCAAAGGTGTGGTTTAGCCAAATTGCCTTTCCTGCAGCGTCCTGCACACTCTCCTGTCTGCAACTAGTGAGGCGGGGACATGAGAACAAGTCTCCTTCATTTCATAGCTTTGACACCCTATACTCTAAATCTGATGTAACTATGTCATCCTTATAGTAACCCTGTCACTCACTCACTGAGGCTTAGACTGAAACCTTTAAATCCACCTTCCAGATATCTGCCCCTGAGCTGCTGGAGTGATGGACAGGACTATTTAGTTGTCCTTCTTGAAACAGGACTGTGACAGAGGGATGTGGGGAGCTTTTGGCATCAGTTTTTACACGTTTTTTTGAAAGCAGCAGAATTGTGCTTTCCATGCCAAGCTTTTGAAGCAGGGGTGCATGAACTTCTCTGCCAGTTCTTTACAGCCACCATCCCTTCAGCTTTATCTCCAGCTTGGGTCTCTCTGTGTCCCAAAGCTTCACGTCCTTGACCCACTCTTCTCAGAGTCTCTCTCATCCAGCCTGTCTCTGCTTCGTCAATCTACAGTTGTCATCTCATTCCTTATGGTAGTCACATACAATCTCAACATCTGAAATACACAGGGTAACATCAGCAACAGGTCATGGACAGACACTGACAGTGTCTCTGGGCTCTCTGAGCCCGCAGGAGCGCTACTGAGGCAAGGTGCTTTCCACAGCACAAGAGACAAATATTTAGGGGTGATGCACTGTGTCACATCCATGTGGCTTTGGCTCATCCTGGTGTAATGCTAGGAGATGTCAGCTGTCGTAGTAGTAAATAATCCCATCTGTGTAGTCTCCGTCGATGTCTGTGTGCTAAAGTCACCCCCAAAGAAAGCTGCATTACTGCTATAAAGTGGAGCCTCCTATAAAGCAAAGTAAGGACAATGCAATTAGGCTATGCAGGACACTGATAATCCCATTCTTGATTTAGAAACAACAGAGAAAATCCCACAGGCTGGCAAAACTGGGGACGTACGATTGCTCAGCCTGGCTCTTTTGATGGGACAGAAGGGAGAGAAGCAGCAAAAAGTTTGTGGTTTGCTCACACAGAACTTCTGGTATCGATGTTACACTTAAGAGTTTTTAAAGTGTGGAGACTGACATTCACATTTGTGCAACAGGGAAAAAAATATGCCCTTAATAGGGAACAGCCTGGATAGTCTTGCATTTGCTTTCTCTTCCTTCAACTGCCTTCCCTGTCCCCCACAATGCTTTCTCTTCAGTTGTATTTCCGTAATTTTGGGATTCTGAAATGGATATTTTGTGGCACAGTGCTCATTTATTGTTTATTTAGAAAGGTTATTTAACTCTCTAGAGAGTGTCCTTTCTTAATCTTTATCATTGGCTACCGCTATAATCTCTGCCACAATGGCAGTCTGATACGATAGAAAAGAGAAAAAATATTCTGAAAAAATATAGGCTTCTGTATGTTTAGTATAGAATCATAGAATCATAAAGGTTGGAAAAGACCTCTAAGATCATTGATTCCAACCGTCGACCCAACACCACCATGCCCACTAAACCATGTCCCTAAGTGCCTCATCTACACGTCTTTTAAATACCTCCAGGGATGATGACTCAACCACTTCCCTGGGCAGCCTGGTCCAATGCTTTACAACCCTTTCAGTGAAGAAGTTTTTCCTCATGTCCAATCTAAACCTCCCCTGGCGCAACTTGAGGCCATTTCCTCTCATCCTATCGCTTGTTAGTGGGTAGAAGAGGCTGACACCCACCTCGCTACAGCCTCCTTTCAGGTAGTTGCAGAGAGCGATGAGGTCTCCCCTCAGCCTCCTTTTCTCCAGGCTAAACAACCCCAGCTCCCTCAGCTGCTCCTCATAAGACTTGTTCTCCAGACCCTTCACCAGCCTCGTTGCCCTTCTCTGGACACG